ATATATATATATATTAATGTCCATTTGAATCACTGAAAAGTTATCATTTTCTGCAAAAACAAAAGATAGTCTCAGGTATAGGTATTTTGTCAGTTTCATAATGACACAGACACTTTTTCTCAGCTTGCTGGAATACTATTTTTAAATATACATCTCTTCATTGAAATATGTAATTTTAAGTAAATTAACCTATGGTGCTACTACATATAGAATATCTTTATTTGTAATGTTTTTTAAGAAAAAATACTAAAAATTGAGACAATTCTATCCTCCTTAGCATACATTTCCAGTCTATCTTTCAGGCACACAAAATATTCACAGATTGTGTTAAACTTGACTGGAGATGTCTGAATAGATTAAGCAAAGGTCATTCAATAAAAATATGACATTCATACTAATAGAACAAGAGAACTGTAACAGCAGGAGACAACCAGCATTACAATGAGAACAACTCAGATGCACAGAAAAAACCCTTATATTCTTGTGATGGAAGCTCAACTGGTACATGAGTACAGGGGTTGAATAGGTCAGCAGTGACCAAAATTACTAAGAAAAATAGGGACCTGTCCATATATACAAACCTGAAATCTGTCAACATAGCTATAGTACTTCTGCCAAAGATGAACTATCCACATAATCCAGGAATTAAATCCATTTGCAAACTGGTTAAGAACAGTTACTTGTGCTTTCAACTCGAGCCATCTTCACACTGGAGGTGGTTTAGAACCACGTTCAGGTTGCTTTGTTGAGAATCCCTCACCAGGTCAATCCAGAGACTGGATTTTATCAGCTGCTGTACAGTTCCACATAGGAAGAGGAGATTTTTCAAGAAAATAAAGATATCTGGAGTGGTTATGTAAGCATATTAAAATAATCTTAAAATTCATTCGGATGTAAAAAGACACCCAGTATTCAGAGTAACTGGAGAAATCCAATAGCACGTTTTTAGCAAATTCATTTTACACTTCTTGGTGTTTCCATGTTTTTCATGTGTTTTTATCAAGTAATAAATATATATTTCTTCACTCTCTTCCATCTACAGTCCAACATGCTTTTTCTATTATCTAGTGAATAAATTAGGGTGCTTTTTTAATTGTGGTTTTTTTTCTTTGTTTTTTTTTTTTTTTCTAGTCAGAGAATTCTGTAGCATTTTATAAGTGCTTGTTGAATTAAACTCTGTGTTCTTGTTCTAGTAGAATACGAAGAGTCATTCTTTAAAAAAAGAAAAAATGAATAAAGACTTAGGCTATTATTTCCTAATAGCCTTTTGCAGTGTCATAAATGGAAAAATTTGACTATGACAGTGAAAAAATATTAAAAATTAATAAAACCTAAGACACAGTGTCCTGCCTTGCATATAATTTTTCAACAGTGAGAGAAAAATCACCATAAAGCTTAGACCTGGGAAGTAGAATGTTTTTCAGAGATTCCCTTGAAACAGTATTTGCCACCTTGGGATCACTATCTGCTTCTAACAAAGCACTCTTCAGTTATAAGAAGGAATATGGCTGGTAAAATCATCCCTTCTAAATGACTTTGCATAGCCTCAATCACATATTAGTTCCCTTAATTTTGAGTCTCTCTTCCCCAAAATCAGGGAATATCATGACATCAAATTTCCTTTGATATAGCTTTTACTTTCTTTTTATTTTGATATCATAAATACATGATAAAACAGTATTACAAAGAAAAATTTAATGCCATCACATCTGGGGGATAAGTCACCTTTGTACCATTAGCTGCCATAGAAAGTCTGTTCTTTTTCTGGCTTTAGAAATCCTTTTTTGTGAGTGTTTTATGATGTTTCTGTTTATACAGTATTTTTACAACTGTTGCAAATAAACACAAATGCCATAAATTACAGAAAAATTCATCCCCAGCTCCCTCCAGGCTTAATATGAAACAGTAATAAAAAGGAGAAATGTGCAAGTGCCACTAAAACCTGTTTGATGAATTCCACATGTGGATTCAAGTTCAGATCTCAATCCATTATAAAAACATGAAATTCCATACCCCTCCTTCATATCTTATTAAAAAAAAAAAAAAAATTAAAAAAAAAAAAAAAAAAAAACAAACAAAAAAAAAACAACCAACCACCCAACAAACAAAACACAACTTTACTTATGAATGCATCCTCATTGATTCATTCAGATCATAATTTTCTTGAGAGACTTTGATACTACTAAAATTCCACAATACATGGGGATTTAAAAAATTTCCTCATTTATTTGGTTCACAATACTAGAAAATTCTTACTTAGGAGTATCACACTTTATGATTGAGCAATGAACAATATTCCTGAGGAATGGAGACGCCTAGACCTCATGCAAGTAGAAATACATTTCGTATTTCTAACGGTACTTAATATATTTAAACCCAGGTAAATGTTTATATATAAACATTGATTCATATATAATAGAAAAGGTAAGTAGAGAATAATCAGGGAATGTTACTGAATTAGATTCTACTGAGGGAAATAGAGGACAATGTATCAAAAGACATTGAAATGCTGATATCAGATGAACAATGCCCAGAAAGCAAGAAGAGATGCCTTTACAGGAGAAGGATTCAATATTTCAAATAACTCAGTCTTAGTTCCTTTAAAACTAATAATCACTCATTATTCATACAAATAGCCTCACAAAGCACATTTTTACAATGTGTTTGTAGCATGAATTTCATTTTTTCAAAGTTCCTATATTAGCACAATTTTCCTCTTTATGTTCTTTTACAGTGTGATTGATGAAACATATCTCTGGAAGTGCAAGTTTTTATCTCTAAGATGCAAACTCTTGTTGCTACCAAGCTGAACTGAACAGAACAGCTGTGATACATAGGGCAATTCCAAATCAGTATGTGTTTCCTGTTTCCTGCTACTCCCACTTGATGAACACAGAAGTCGTTAAAATATATTTTCCTGTGGAATGTTATCTGCCCCAAAGCTTCAGTATTTATTAGCACTTAGGTAGTAATACCTTCTGCCAAGCGTAAATTGTCCCAAAATGTTTGTTTCAAGTCCTATTCCCAGAAACAGTTTTTACCACTTAAATCTGAAGCATCTCATGTACATCCATCCTGTATCTTTACTAGCCATTAGAATTAGATCACTGCAACTGTGGGCAGAGAATTAGGCATGAAATTATGTTAATTTTGTTTCCTTAGTAATTTTATAAATTTCCATATAATGAGCTCTACTACTGTCCCAAGAGAAGCATGTGATCAGACAGATGAGCATCCCGATCCAATGTTGGGGGAGGGTTCAATATCATCCCAAGAGCAAGATTAAGACACGAGCAAGGTCAAATGCTGTACACTCAAAAGAGTTGTTATTGTTAAAAGTGAAGAGGGGTAGAGATAGGACAGAATGGAAGGAAAAGACAGAAATCAAATAAGCATCTGGAACAGAGCCACAAGAATAGCCACCACCATGGATCCAGAAGCATCCCATTGGTCTTCAGTTCTTCAGTGGTGGTGTACACTGAGCAAAGTGCTTTGCCACCTTTTAAGTTTGTTTTATCATCTGTTTAGCATATCTGCCACCTTTAGTTTTTCCTCCACTACCACAGGTTTTTGCTGACTTCATGCTTCTTGAGCTATCATCTGACTTCTGGGGCAGAAACACTCACCTCTTATCAGTTCAATGGTGAAGGTGCAAAGTCATTAAGTATGGGGCTTATACCATGGCTGGTGATCAGCGGTCCTTGTGCTTGATGAGAAACACCTGGTTTCACTCAGTCCACCTCTTTAAGGCTTATCTAAGGAGTTTGTCAATACAACTGCAAGGGAGTGGGAGGGTGCATTCTTCGATACACTCCTGCTTCCTTGGGTGATACTCCTTAGATTAATTACAAAGGCCACAGCTGGTCCTTGATGAATGGTCAAGGCTTTACTGACACCAGCCTGTGACTCAAAGCACACACACAAGCCAGCTTTGAGACAATCATTTGACATTTCAGTCTCTCACAATGAGATTGTTTATAGTAGAAATCTGAGTTAAGGAGTGTTACAGAGAAGGACGTGAGTTTAAGTCATTGACTATCATAGCCACAACCATATCATGCATTTTCATTCATCTCAGAGCAGTCAGCTTTAATGCATTTGTCAGTACATCCTTTCTTCCCACAAGCTGCAACCTTCTTTTCTTTGATCTCTAACCATTGAAAACCTGATTTTACAAAATAGATGCTCAGGTTCAATTCATTATTTTATTAGAAATAGTTTACTAGAAAATTCAGCCATAGTCCTACAGATAACTAATGGAAAGTTGACTAACACCAAACCTACTAATTAATAATATGTATGTGTACTTACTTATCAAACCAAGACTTCTCTAATTGAAGCCAGTTGAAAAGTGTAATTCTCTGCTTGTTAAATATGTATTTTATTAATTTCTGAGCAATTCTGAGCTTTGATTCTTTTACTTATTGTCCTTCTATAGGCATCCTTAACTGGTATTTCACTGTAATAACATAAAGACTCTAGAAGACAGTCTATTGCAAATTCTCCATTGCTGTTTTACGGTCGAAGAAGCCGACATAGGTATTTGTATAGTTTATGCATAGGGCATGCCTTCAGAATAAATGTGCTCAACCCTTGCAGAGAAGGTGAGTCCCATCACTCAAAACTTTAAAATTCTGACCAAGAATATATACTAATAATTCAGGACAATCAAAATGAACTGTTCATTCAAAAGACTGGCAGTCAGTGGATCCTGAATGCAAAGAATGAAAAATGCTTAAGATTTAATAAAGAGTAATTTAAAAAAAAAAAAAAAAAAAAAAAAAAAAAAAAAAAAAAAAGGTATATATTGGTATGAGTGTGTTTCTAGAATAAAAGTAATTAAATTTCACAATACCTTAAATATGAGTAAGAAGATGGATTGCTTAACTATATGGAATTTTTGAAACATGTTCTTAAGGCTTTTAAACCTCATGTTTTATAAGTGAATAACTTGAAAGAAGTTTGAATTATTGACGCTTTCACATGCTGTTTGTCAAGCTCAAACTTCCACAACATGGTAGCTGCTGTAATGTAGCTATTTGGTGATTCACTGGCCTAGGATTGCTTGATTCAAGCAAGTTTAGTTTACCTCTACTTCACAATGACATGACAGTTTGTAATTTCAGTTAATGGGTCTGAAATTTAGTTGACAGGAGAGTGAACCATCTTCTCTTTTGAACTACTTATTCAAGTCTGAGGATCATTTACAAGGCACTGTATGACAGGCTTGTATTTTTAAAGCCTATGCCAGATATTGGCATTACAGAAAGTGCACGGGGAAATCAATGCCATTATTTAAAAATGAACAAATAACTACTACAGAAGTCATTCAAAGGACAACTGAAATCTCACTAGTCTGGTGAGGGGAAAAAAAAAAAAAAAAGTCAAAACCAGCCAACCAACCAACCAAAAAAAACCCCCAAACCCAGTCCAATAACAACCAAAAAAATAAATAAACAAAACACAGAAACAAAAGAAATTGAATGTAAGAGAAATTGCTTAAATGTTATATAGCTTACATAGGCCATTATTAGTAGAATTCTTGCATCCACAACTACTGTAAATAATATCATATTTGTCTTCCCCCAGTATGTTCAGTATATTCACATTAGTTTGCTTTCCTTCTGAAATAACATTTCTTGCACTGTAAATGTCTTTAATACTTCAGCATACATTAATGTCCATTATTTACATTCCTGACTATACACACCAGATAAACCAATATCTGATTCAAAATCATATAAAAAAGACAAGGAAAGAAAAAATTTTTAAAAGTAAGTAAATTCTCCACGCATCAATGAAGTAGTCTATGTGTTAATTTGTTTTTAGAAACCAAGGTTTTGCCTAGAGGTAAATATCAGTTTGTGTCATTTTTCATTACATAGTTATGTTTTTGCTTTAGCACTGTATGAATTGCCTTTATAAACTACTGTATATTTGATGCTTGCTTATGGCTGTCCAGAGGTCTCTGCTGATGGAAAGCTAAACAGCATTAGGTCCACATTAGAAATTGAATGTTTTATTTAAGGACTCCATAGGTAACTTACTACCATATTTCCCTTCATCTCTTCCAAAAGTGCAGCTGTTACAAAAGCCTACAGATGAGGCAGAATGGGCCTTACTAGTAATACGACTCTTTAATTGTCAACTCACTGATAGCTTTTGCAACTCTTTGTTACACAGTCTGATTTATTTATTTGGTCTTAAATGCTTCAAAATGTCAACTGAGTGGTTAGTAGGCAAAGTATTCTGAAACAAACATAATTCCTTAGATCTCTTCATTTCAACAATTGGTGAATTTCAAATGACAAAATAAGTATTTTGATAACATAACTTCTTAAGTGACCGACATGAGACAGTTACATAACTGAAGGAAAAAATACATTCTCTGAAATTGAAAATGTCTTCATTTTAGATTCATAAATACCTTCATTTGAGCTCAGAGCCATTATATGAACTCCTATCTGACACGATTACTAGGACTGAACATTTTTTCTTCAGCAGTGTAATTCAAATGTATATAATCCTGAATGCTCTACCTTTCAGTTATAGGAGTGGACTTTATTCATTTTGACAATATAGTTGACTTTGGTTCTAGTGATTTTCAATCTGACACCCTATGAAAGTTAGTTATGAGAAAGCAAGTCTTTAAATTTGAATTCCTGTTGGCAAAAGTTTGGATAAATACCTGTTGTCAGAAACTTTACTGATGCATTAATATTGGTCTTGATGCAGAGTGACTTCTTAAGGAAAAAATAAATAGAGTTTTACCTGAACAGTGAGAAGATAAACTTAATAAGACTATGAAGTCACTTGAGAGAGATACACTTTAACATGGCTTGAGATTGATGGCATGATGCAGAGGAAGGTCAAGAAGTATTCCTCAATTAGGCACTATTGACTGCTTGAACATTACTGAAACTTCCTTTTACTTATATGATTTTAAAATGGATTATACAAATCTAGAAACTATATTCCTTGGAACAGTATATGTTAAATGGAAAAATAATTATTTGATCAAACAATTTCATAGCTATATGATATTAAAAAATCACATAATTTAAAAAAAAAATATAATAATTAAAAAAAAAAAAAAGCCACAAAAAACCAAAGCACAACCATTCAGGCTATAAAATCTTCCTACGCTTAAAAGTACTAAAACATATATTTTTAGGAGTAACTCCCCTGCAATACCTCTAAATAAAAAAATAAATAAATTCAAAATAACAATGGATGGTATTTCTGAGTTTTTATCTTTCATTATTCCTTTCTATCAAATATGTTACAAAAGCAGTGAAACTGACAGATTTATTATATGAAGATCTATCATTTTTGAAGATTGTTCTGTGTTTCTTATGGGAATAAACAAATGAAAATATAGTGCTGCCATCACCGTTCAGTCTAGAGAAAGTGACACAGAACCCCCAGCAACGAGATTCAAATATTATTGAGAAATAAAAAGGATCAAAATTTACGCTTTTTTTTTTTTTTTTTAATCAGAAATGAGCACCTGCCTAACTCCGACCTGTTAGCCAAGAAAACACCTGCATGTCTTCATTTCCTCTCACTGTTCAATTGTACATGCATCTCTGGCACTGGCCCATATATTACACTTTATTTGAAAGAGGAAAGAAACACATAATCCAGATCCATTGGTCCTTAATTAATTATGTGCTCCATATTCACAGGTATGACTTGGATTTTCATTCATAACAAGTGGCATACTAGAACATGAGTGATATTTCACCAGTGTTCTCACTTAAAGGAACAGGCATTGAGTGTCTGCAAAGAAGGGAAGATTTGAGACTATAGAGAAACTTCTAAAAAGATTTCCAAAAGAGGGACAAACTAGTACAAAATTATTATTACATTCTGTAAACTGAAATTTGTGTATATTAATAGCAGTGCATGTAGTTTGCTGTGCATCCTGATTTGTAATGTTAAAATACTAGATTATTTTTACATTCCAGAAGCTGGTTACATGGTCCAGGAATGACTACAATTCAGTTAGCATACACTTTGCGCTCTGTGCAAAAAGACAAACCATTGCTTGGAGGAAAAACCAAGCTCATGCTTTAGACACAACACTTCAAGGAAGTGAGATGTTTAGAAGGAATATAATTGCATGAATGCCACAGCATTAACCACAGACCAGTCCCAGACGGACACTAAAGCATACACACTTTAGATACACCAATAACTTAACCCTGTCAGACATCTGTAAGAGTCAAGATTGGAGTTGGGTTGGCGAATTACATCAAAATTAATTTAGTATTAAATTAATTTTGTATTAAATTTAGAATACGAAGTTAAAACATTTGTATGCTGTATGAATGCAAAAATCCTAGACAGATGAACGACATAGCATGCAAGAGAGCCAGGTGCATGCGGTGATCTTTTTAAGGGAATCTCTTCATTTTTGACACTGTTTTGATAGGAAAGAATGCACA